TTGATACAGGTTGCAGTTGTGGAAGACGAATCACTTCCTTCGACACATGTCCCATGCCTCGTAGTGGCACACATTTCACTTGTGAGGAGACTTAAGTCAAAACTTAAGCAGGTGGGGTTAAAAAGAGAGAGAAGTAGGTGTATTTTTCTGTTTCGTTTTCCTAAAATTCTCCTACTTAAAGGCGTCAACACTACTATGGGGTAAAATGTTGCCGTTAGAATGCTGTCATTACTTTTATCCGATGCAATTGTGAACCCAAGGTGAGCATGTCTATGATTACTGCAGAGGACTTAAGTAGTGAAGTGGTTCCTTTCTCGCGCAATTTTAAGTCTCGGGTATTTATGGTTTTCATGGTGTCTTCACATGATTCAGGGTGACTAGAAGGAATTGTTCATGAGGACCAACTCTGAATGATCGAATAGACTAATTTAATGTATTTTTCTGCAACTTTCTCGAAAGCCATCGTAACGAATAGCAAGGCATAAAGCTACCAATATGCTACTCGTAAGTGTGCCCTTCCACAACTTTACCCTATTTTACTTGGATTCATTAAGTGAGGGCGAACCCTGATCAAATCTACTAGAGCTTGATATGTAGCTCTTGGAGAGGACGACCTTCGCAACAGTCAATGCACTCGTTAGTTGTCGTAGATGAATCGCTCACAGATAAGGCTATCCCATAAAGTCGAAAGAAGTTCCTCTCTTCACACCAACCATGGCAAATTACTTGGTACTACTGATTAAAGGCTAGTAGGATGAGGCATTCAAGACTTTATAATGCAAAAACAATCTAGAGAAAAAATTGGTAGAAGCTAGGAATCAGATATTAAGTAGTAATAGACAATGCGCCTTGAAGGCTGCCAGCAATTTTCCGCCTATACTTCATCATTTCAAGTCATTAAAGCTATTGAAATGTTGAAAAAAGTCACAGCATTGAAGCTCAATCCATGCCTAGCAGAAATATTAATGCAAAGGTTCTCTCATTAATATCGTATGTTATTTAGTAGCAGTTATGTTTGCGAAGCAAGAGAAGCTAGGGTAAACGTGACTTGGGCATCGCGGCACAAAAGTGGTGACTGAGCCGCAGGTAGTGAAGTGCTGTCGTCATTAGATGTCATTTGCAAGTAGATCACATTAGGAAACAGGAAAATGATGTATTTGTCCCATACATTTTCTTTATTGTTTAAGAAATGAATGGAATAATTGAGATTGTAAATATTCTAATTAGCCTGAAGAGATTTGATACTGGTGAAAGAGACAAAAAAGCACATCCCATGGATTTGACCAGAGTGGTGTAGGTATTATAAAAAGGGATCCGCGTCGACATGGGAATGGCGTAGTTTTCCTTCCATCGATGCTTAAGCAGCACAGACAAACGTTTCCCTTAGTGTGCAATCTGCCTTGGTTGTGTGGTTTTAGCATCATGATGACTGCATATGTGCGGGAGTGTGACCAAGTGACCAACTTCTCAGCCTCGCATACTTTCCCAATCACACAGTAAAATTTGACACCATTCACCACATTCTCTCCTTAATCATCCTTTGCAAGTTAGTTCCACATTCTCTAGTTCGTGACCTTTATCTATTCTTCCCTCATTATGAGACGCTTGATGCTATCACTCTCCTGAACAATAGACTGTTAATTAAAATGTTCTACACTTTAAAGATGCATCAAATCCCACTAGCATCAAGACTCAAAGGCTAACTACCCAACTTCTTGGCCTAACTTTTTACAAAAGTATATGTAGATGTGGATCTGAGATAAAAGTTGGAAAAAGTGAATAAGAATGTGGAGCAAAGGTGATTTCAGAGAAAGAGACAGATAGAGAGATTAAAGGGGGAAGGTGAAAAGAGGAGACAGACCAAAGGTCAGACCAGATCAAATCAGATCATGGCTTTAGCAGTCTTTACGTAGAGGAATTGTTTCAGCAGAAACCAAGCAGAAGCAGAGGCCAGAAAGACACCAACCACGATCCAGTCTACGTACACGGACCGACCGTACTCCACACGAATCAGTGTGGGATTGTAAAGCTAAAACAATACTAAAGAGAACAATAACAGTTACATGGGTTCCCTGTAGGCACTAAAGGGCAATGATACGAGATATTTCTATACAGGAAATAATGGTCTGCAGCAGCACTTGGTTGGGATTCTCGAATATCAGCCAATATGACGTGAAGACATAGTGAGAACAGGGTTAAGCTCATTAAAGGGATGTAAGTGCATGACATTAGCAACCACCAAAGAACTACAGCAGTAGTGGTGATCTTCTGGTCGATTTGAATGGGATGCAGACGCTGCACGTGAGTTCATAGAGATCCATTTCCCACCTGTCGACTGTACTTAGCACATGAATGGCAGCCACATAGGTGTAGAAGATCCTCAATGCGTTCGAATTTATCTTCCACCAGAACCTACCTATGCATGGCCTCCAGCACAAAATTGTTTACAAAGTAGATATGGACTTGTAGCTCTTGCTTTAGCTATCCAGACATCAATACAGGAAGAATGAAGAGAGACTTTAAAAACTACTCCACCATTGGGACTTGAGCAGATCTGCCTTTCCGCTTCGTGCTGATCGATGTGGGGGAAATTGACAAAATGATTTCTCACGCCTGCTAAATAGCCACCACCTTCTCTTCCTGTCGATTTTTCTGCAATTGCTTCTGCATGATAGGAGGAAACCACGTCATTCTGCTGCAGAGAGCGGCCTTTTTAAGAACCTTGGCACTCTTGTCGAATACATGGGTATGCTTACCGGTCTCTTTGACTAACATCAGTTCTCTTTTTACTTTAACCCAAATAATCGGAAACATAAATTACTAATAACTTCATTTATGGGGCAATAAAGCAAGTCTTGGATTTTGATTTGCAATTTGTTTCAACTGGAGTAAGCAAGCACCAAGACATGGGGTGCGACTTGTGCATGTGTGACATCCACCAATCAAAGAAGTCGCAGGAGTCTCAGTTGTCACCACTTCATGATATTTAGAATA